GATCAACCGATTGTTACTAGCTAGCTATATGTAAGGGACTTTAAACTTTATTATCAAATAAAATGTACTAGCTAGCTAGTGTGAAATAATTGAAATGAATGGATGCCTCTAGTTCTATATATATTATACAACGTTCACTTCGAGCATCCGAAACAAGCTTAAGAGTAGAATGTAAACTTATAATCAGAGTGTATAGAGATCTAATCAGCAAGATGAAATTAGAAAGAAAATTAGGAAAAAAAAAAAGAATGATGGTTTTTAGATTCGGACCGTAGAAATAAAGGTAATTTGCAGAGAGACAAATCGAAACCAAAGACAAGTTATGTAATTATGTTCCCATCACTAAATTATGACTAAAGCGCTATAGCTTAATTAGCTTGGGCAGAATAAAAATGTGGATGAATTAAGACAAAGTAACAAATGAGATTGGTTAAACCAATTAGCAAGAAGAAAACATAACTTGATAATAAAGCAGTAAGCCGGTTGTAACAATAATTGTTTCCTAGAATGATCAAAGGCATAATGAAACGTAATGCCTTTGATCATTTGAGGAAACATTTTTGGCTATATAATCACATCATACCCTTAACACATCTCTCACCACGCAAGCTTCATAATTAAGATCTAATCAAGATTTGTTAGCAAAAACAAACAAAAAAACATCCTCTAATTTTTAGAATAGCTACAATGGCCGAGATGTTCAAAAACGCCGAGATGCTCAAAAAGGACATCCGCGATGTCTTGGATAGGTATAAGCAGCTACTCGATGATTTCAGAGTGGTCATCAGCAGCAAGTTTGTAAGCCACAATGATATAATTATATATGATTTCTAATCTTATTTTTGTTTGACATAATTTTGTACGTGTCCTAGTGTTTATTTAAATAAGTCATTTTGTATATTTTTGTGTTTTATTTGAATTCGTCTCATATTGTTAATTTGAGCAACAAAATATCGCAGGTTGATGACGTGACACGCCTCAGAGACATATTAAAGTTGCTCACGGAGTCGATGGACAAGCTGGATATCGATTTTGTCACTCGGCCGGCGGCTCCACTCGGACCTGATGATTTGGATTTTGTGATGCCTCCCGCTAATAGCGATTAAGGATATTTACTCTAAAAATAAATAAATCCTTTATTAGAAATAAATAAGTTCTTAATTATATCCCATTTCTCATCCACTAGGTGATGTCATGTGAGAGCAA